GCTTTGCAAAATAATTCCCGAAGTGGCGAACGTAGTGATAATACCACTCAATTTCTTTTCAAAGAGTACGTCAATCAGATAGAAACATACACAGAATACACAAAATCCAGCTTACATAAATAGGTTCAGTGGAGTTTCTTTCAGAGAGCACATTTTAAGTGTGCTTCTTACATACACTTTTTTGTGGATCCTGACTTGTTAACTTGTTTAACAGATAAAATTAGCCACCACGACTATTTTCTTACCATAGCTAACCATTTGTCGTCAAGTATCCCCGCTGATATATCTCCTACACCAGGTATTTCTTTCTTATCTAACGATTTAGTTAATCGTTAACTTTCCATTTTGTTTAAATGTGTGACTTATCGATTGAAAGTATTTTCAGCATTTTAACGTATTGCAAAAATGAAATATATTCTTGTGTATGTTCTAAAGTGCACTTTTCAGATTCAATACACAGCCACATTTTTGCTTATTCCTTTTCAAGTTGAATTTACTTCACAAATTCGATTAAGAATTACTAACATATCGTATTTTTGATCATATCTCGCTTCTCTTCTCAGCATTAGTAACACCAACGTCAACAGCCTCGCTGCCAGCTGCCTCTGGTAAGACATTGTGACATTTAGGTTTTTCTCAAATAATCTTAACTTCCCTGAGATATGTTTGAAGTCAAGGTAACCATCGTCAGTCTAACCAATGTTGGTCTTACTTTACACTTACCTTTTTTAGCCTCCTGTCACTACAATTTATATGGACCACACGGCAATTTCAGTAGTCCAAACTACCCTCAAAACTACGATCACTATCTCCAGTGTGCTTGGAATATTACGACATCACCGGGGCTTTATATTTACCTCCACTTTGATCATTTCCATCTGGAGGGTAGTTCTGGAAGTTGCCCTTACGACTATGTGCAGATATATGATGGAACGTCTCACCAAAGCCTAACCATGAAACGCTGCGATTATCAAGATTCTTGGTGTGTTTACAGCCACAGCAACGCCCTTTATGTACATTTTAAAACAGATGGTTCAGTTTCTCGTTCTGGTTTCACTGCTTTCTATGAAACGGTTTCTGAGAGATATTCAGTCTGCAAAATAAATTCGAGTAAGGCTATGTTCACTCTTGCATTTATCCTCATTTCTAGTGGGTACTTAATTTTTAAACCCATGCCAATTCTTATACTCCCCCACCGACGCAGCACCGCTGTTTCTGTAGAACCTTACATCCTTTTGAACGAACAGAAAGTAAGGCAAGAGATAAGATAAACAGACTGGTTTAAGTGAGACGAAGAGACAATAAGACAAATGTTTTTTCAAAATTAGGCGAAGTAAATAGCAGAAGAAAGTCATGCTAGAGACAAGACAAACAGACTTGTAAGAGAGTGACAAGAGGACATAAAGGTTTTTCTAAACTAAGCGAATAGAAGAATACAATATATTCTTTTGGAAGAAGTAGTGTGAAAGCTTTGTAAAATCATACCCGAAGTGGCAAACTTAGTAACAATACCTCTCAATTTCTTTTCAAAGAGTACGTCAGTCAGATAGAAACACACGCACGGAATACACAAAATCCAGCATACATAAATAAGTTCTGTGGAGTTTCTATAAGAGAGCACATTTCAAGTGTGCTTCTTTTAGACACTTTTTTGTGGTTCCTGACTTGTTACTTATATCATGTTTAATGGATAAAATTAGCCACCACGGCTATTTTCTTCCCACAGCTAACCATTTTCCGTCAAGTATCGCCGCTGATATATCTCCTAACCCAGGTATTTCTTTCTTATTTAATAATTTAGTTAATCGTTAACTTTCCATTTTGTTTAAATGCGTGACTTATCGATTGAAAGTATTTTCAGCATGTTAATGTACTGCGAAAATGAAACATATTCTCGTGTATATCCTAAAGTGCACTTTTCAGATTTAATACACAGCCACGTTTTTGCTTCTCAGCATCAGTAACACCAATGTCATCAGCCTCGCTGCCAGTTGCCTCTGGTAAGATGTTATGACATTTGAGTTTTTCTCAAGTAATATTAACTTCCCTGAGATATGTTTGAAGTCAGAGTAACTATTGACAGTCTAACTAATGTTGTTCTTACTTTACACTTCCTTTTTTTTAGCCTCCTGTCACTACAATTTATATGGACCGCACGGACATTTCAGTAGTCCAAACTACCCTCAAAACTACGGCCACAATCTCCAGTGTGCTTGGCATATTACGACATTACCGGGGTTTTACATTTACCTCCGCTTTGATCATTTCCATCTGGAGGGTAGTTCTGGAAGTTGCCCTTACGACTATGTACAGATATATGATGGAACGTCTCACCAAAGCCTAACCATGAAACGCTGCGATTATCAAGATTCCTGGTGTGTTTACAGCCACAGCAACGCCCTTTATGTACATTTTAAAACAGATGTTTCAGTTTCTCGCTCTGGTTTCACTGCCGTTTATGAAACAGTCTCTGAGCGATACTCAGTCTGCAAAGTAAATTCAAGTAAGGCTATGTTCACTGTTGCATTTATCCTCATTTCTGGTGGGTCTTAATTGATGAAGCCATGCCAATTATTTTACTCCTCCTCCCACGCAGCACCACAGTTTCTATAGAACCTTGTTTCTTTTCAACAAACAGAAAGTAAGGCAATAAACAAGACAAACAGACAGGTATAAGTGAGAAGAGGAAATAATAAGACATATTTTTTCAAAAGCACGAGAATAACACCATAAAGTCATGCTAGAGATAAAACAAACGGACTGTAAAGAGAGAGACGAGAAGACATAAACGTTTTTTAAAGCTAAGCGAATAGAAGTTTTGAAACAATTCATTTTTTTGGGGAAGTAGTGCGACAGTTGTCCAAAATCATTCCCGAAGTGGTGAACGTAATAACAATACCTCTCAATTTCTTTTCAGAGAGTGTGTCACTCAGGTAGAAACACACACAAGGACTACACAAAATCCAGTATACACAAAAATATAGTTCTGTGGAGTTTCTTTTAAAGAGCACATTTCAATTATGCTCCTTACACACACTTTCTTTGTGGATCCTGACTTTAAGTTACCTATAATTATTATTTTGATAAAATTAGCCACTATGACTATTTTCTTCCCACAGCTAACGATTTACCGTCAAGTATACCCGCTAATATATCTCCTACACCAGCTATTCTTTTTCTTATCCAATAATCTAGTTAATCGTTAACTTTCCATTTTCTTTAAATGTGTGACATCGATTGAAAGTACTTTCAGCAACCTCGTGCATTGTGAGAATGAAATATATTCTTCTGTATATCCTAAGGTGCACTTTTCAGATTTAATACACATCCGGGTTTTTGCTAATTTTTTTTTCACGTTGATTTTACTTATCAAATTTATTAAGAATTACTTACATATCGTATTTTTGATCGCGTCTCGCTTCTCTTCTCAGCATCAATAACACCAATGCCAACAGCCTCGCTGCCAGCTGCCTCTGGTAAGACATTATGACATTTGAGTTTTTCTCAAATAATCTTAACTTCCTTGAGATATGTTTGAAGTCAAGGTAACCATTGACAGTCTAACTCGTGTTGTTCCTACTTTACACTTACTTTTTTTAGCCTCCTGTCACTACAGATTATATGGACCACACGGCAATTTCAGTAGCCCAAACTACCCTCAAAAGTACGACCACTATCTCCAGTGTGCTTGGCATATTACGACATCACCGGGGCTTTATATTTACCTCCGCTTTGATCATTTCCATCTGGAGGGTAGTTCTGGAAGTTGCCCTTACGACTATGTGCAGATATATGATGGAACGTCTCACCAAATCCTAACCATGAAACGCTGCGATTATCAAGATTCCTGGTGTATTTACAGCCACAGCAACGGCCTTTATGTACACTTTAAAACAGATCATTCAGTTTCTCACACTGGTTTTACTGCCGTTTATGAAACAGTCTCTGAGCGATACTCAGTCTGCAAAGTAAATTCAAGTAAGGCTATGTTCACTC